GTGCCATTCCCGGGGTGCTTGCTTGAGGCCATAGACTGGTCGATTCAGCTTCCATACAGTGCCTGGTGGAAAAGGAGCTGGAAATCCTTCGGGCTGCTCCATGTAGATTTCCTCTCGAAGGATCCCTTGCAGAAACGCAGATGACACATCCATGCAGTCAACCTCCATGTCATCTCGAGCGGCAACATCGAGAAGGGTGCGCAATGTGGGAGGTTTGGCGGTGGGAGAGAATGTCTCTAAGAAGTCCAGTCCATGCTTTTGGGTAAATCCCTTGGCACAGTACCGGGCTTTGAAGACGGGAAATTCGCCTGGAAGTTGTTTCACCCGGAAAACCCATTTTCCCTTCACAATGTTGACGCCGGAGGGAGGAGAGACATCTGTGAAAGTTCCTGTGTGAATGAAGGCCTCACACTCTGCGACAATGGCCCCTAGCCATTGAGCGGCGTGAGGACCAGAAACTGCTTCAGCATAGATGAGAGGTGTGGGGATGGAGGGGTTGTCCGAGAAGTCGAGGGTGGGAGATTCTGCGATATCTGGAAAGAGGGAGCAGAGTGCGTGTATGGCTGAGTCAATCTCAATCAACTCCTCATGCCTGTCCTCAAGAAGGGAGGGCATGAGCGAATAATCACCCCCGACAGGAGGAGGATTGAGAGAGACACGAATGGAAAGGGAAAGAGGTTTGGGAGCTTTGCGCGAGCGGGTGCGACCAGCGATGGGGAAGGGAGGCGGAGCTGGAGGGGGAGAAGCAGCAGGTGTAGTGGCAGCATCAGGAACAGCAGCTGGATCAGGAGCAGGAGCTGGATCAGGAGGAGGAGCTGGATCAGGAGGAGGAGCAGCAGCAGGAGGACGGCGTTGGTAGGTTTTGAGAGGAATGGGCTCGGGGGCGGGAAGGAGCGGGGGAGACTGCGTGGTGCTGGAAGGGGAAGCGGGTGACGGGGGGTCGGAAACTGTGGAGGGAGCAGGAAGAGGAGGAGATGGAGTGGTGGCAGGAGGAAGGCTGTCAAAGTCAGCCCAAGTAAGAGAAGGAGGCGGAGGAGAAGGAGAAACTGTGGAGGAGGGGTAGAACGGGTGGGATTCATCGAAGAAAACATCTCGGCTGCGATAAAGTTTGTTGGTGGTAGGATGGAGGAAGAGGTAGTCTGGCGAGTCCGAGTTGTGCCCGAGGTACACGCACGTGATTGTTTTCGGAGCAAGCTTGCCGCCAGCTGCACGACGGGCTTGGGAGTTGAGGAGAACATAGGAAGTGCACCCCCATACACGAAGAGGGCGGACGGACGGCTTTTGACCCGTCCACAGCTCTGCGGGGGTGGTGTGGGTGTGGTGAGGATGAGGATGGAGATTGTGGAGGGCGGCAGCATGGAGCATGGCGTATCCCCAAAGAGAGGGAGGGGCGGAAGCATGAGTGAGGAGGCAGCGAGCAATCTGCACCAGGATGCGGTTTCGGCTCTCAGCAACACCGTTCTGTTGAGGGCTGTCTGGGAGGGTGAAGGTCTGACGAATACCCTCAGTAGAGCAGAAAGCTTTGAGAGTGTTGTTGCGGAATTCACCGCCACCGTCAGAGTGAAGAATCTTGATTTTGGTTTTGAAGTGTGAATGAGCCTGCCTTGCCCATTCCATGATAGTGGCTGGGGCTTCAGACTTGGCGGTGAGAAGGTGAACAGACACATAGCGGGAATAGTCATCAACGATGACAAGGAAGTAGAAGTGTCCGCCACGGGAACGAACAGGAGCTGGACCCCAAAGGTCCATGTGTACGCGATCAAGAGGTGCGAAGCTTGCTCTGTGCACAGTCAAGGCAAGGTGGTCCAGAAAGAGAGGGGGGTTGTGGAAGTGAGGCGGGCAGCCCATGAAGGAGTTGTTTGGTGGCAAGGTCTGAAAGTGCGCGGAAGTTGATGTGGCCGAGGCGATTATGAAATAGCATAGTCTTGTCATTGAGGAGGCGGCAGTGACATGAGGGGGAGTCTGAGGATGGAAGCGGAAGGTTGGTGAGGGAGCATGTTTGAACGGGAGGTACAACTAGTGTGTACAGGTTGTTGGAGTTGAGGGTGAAGCGGGCAAGATGGAGTCCGGTTTTGGCGTCAAACATGTCACAGTAGTCAACATCATTGGGAAAGATGGTGATCACGCCTGCGTGTTGGATTTCCCGCTGTGCAAGAAGGTTGTAGCGGAGGGTAGGGGCACAGATGCCAGTGACTGTGCCGGATGGGAAAGCTGGACAGGAAACTGTGGAGGACCCATGGCATTGGATGGAGAAGCTAGAATCGGCTCCAAGGAGTGAGGTGGGAGCCTGGTAGGGAACAAAGGCAGTTTGGTCTTTAAGCACTGTGTGGGTGGCACCACTGTCTAGTATGAACTCAATTCCCTGTGTGGTTGAAACACCGATGTACTGCGACCCCTTCTCATTCATAAGACCAGCACCAGAGAACAACAGGTTAAGGCGAACATCAGATGGGGCACTAGCAAATGCCTGAGCAGGTTCCTCCACTGCCTCGACCTGGTTCACGCGACGGGGTGGTGCCCAGTTGGGAGGGCGCTTGTCCTTGGAGACACCGTGGACGTCATACCACTCGTCATCTCGCTTCTTGAAGCAAGTTGCCTCAGGGTGGTTGGTGCCGTTGCATTTCTGCCCCGCACGTGGACCCTTCCTAATGAGGTACTGGCATGGGGGAAAGGAGTTGCGCCTCTGGCCCTGCTGGGAACGAAATGGGATGCCAGGGGAGTAGCGCACAGCATTGACGGATGCCTGGGCTGCAAGGTCCTTTTCGGCAGAGAGAATGGCCGAAGCGACTTTCTCGAAGGTGAGTTCCTTGGTGGGGAGCTGCTTGAGCATGGAACTGGTGACGTTGTAGGCCGGGGTGAGTCTGACGAGAAGCCCAGCAGCAGGTGCCTGTTCGGGGAAGGTGATCCCAATGTCCTTGAGCTCCTCATGGATGTTGCGGATTTCAGAGATGTAGTCTGCCATGCCCGGGCATTCCTCAAGGCGGATTTGGAACATGCGAGGAATGAGGATTGCAACTCCCACGGCAGTTTTGTCATGAAAGCGATCCTGGAGGTACTTCCAAATGTCATGCGCAGAGCGGAAGGTGCGGTAGGACTTGACTAACTCGACTGGGGTGGTGGTGATGAAAACCCTAATCACTGCCGCATCCGCCTGCTCCCAGAGGCTGAAGTCCGTCTCATACTTGGTGGTTTTAGCGTCGAAAGCAAGCTTGGCTGTGGCAGTGGCGCCTTCGCCGAGAGGATCGGGAGGGAGAGGCATCTTCCCCTTGCCGCGATTGAGGAGGATGTCCTTGAGGCAAATCCCCTTGAGCTCCGAGCTAAGGAGGTGCTTCTCCACTCCATAGCACCACTCCCCGAAATTGGTGCTCGTGCCGTTGGGAGCGAGGTTAAGGATGATGAGGTTTCCGACGAGAGTGGAAGTTGAAGTTGCCATTTCGCGCGGAGCGCAGCGCTAAAGTCTCCGATACGTAGCGGAGCGGAGTTCGGGTGATTTTGGAAATTGAGGAAGTTCGAAACGCGATTTTGGCAATAGAATGCCCGTACTATACCCTGATATACTGCTTCGCCAATGCCCCCTGTTCTGCTTCGCTGCTGCCCCTGTTCCGCTTCTCTGCTGCGCCGCTGACCTGTTCTGCTGCGCCGCTGACCTGTTCTGCTGCGCCGCTGGACCTGTTCTGCTGCGCCGCTGAACCTGTTCTGCTGCGCCGCTGAACCTGTTCCGCTGCGCCGCTGAACCTCTTCCGCTGCGCCGCTGAACCTGTTCCGCTGCGCCGCTGAACCTGTTCCGCTGCGCCGCTGAAAACCTGTTCCGCTGCGCCGCTGGACCTGTTCCGCTGCGCCGCTGAAAACCTGTTCCGCTGCGCCGCGCTGGACCTGTTCCGCTGCGCCGCTGAAAACCTGCTCCGCTGCGCCGCTGGACCTGTTCGAAGTTAAGAAGATGCGAAAATTGCCACGGAGATATAAAAACCAGAAGCTTACGATGAAGGAAGTCGAAAGCTGAGAATGTCGCCGTTGAAAAACGAGATGCGCGATGAAGGAAGCCGAATGCGCGCTTGACCGGAGCGACGATGTGAAGTTTCTGAAAAACGCTAAGCGTAGGAGCCGGGAACCGAAATAGGCATAGCCTAAAAGGAGAGAACCATCGGGACGCCAAGGATCGGATTCCGCGTGAGCGGAATTTACTAGCTCGATACCATGATAGAATTGGAACTGAACTGATTGCTTGATAAGGAAGGCACTAGGCCTTAAGTACAAACATGGTTGGGTTGAGCAAAGCTAGGGAAAGGATGGGATGGGAATCCTAGCAAATCTCCAATTGGTGAGTTGGCAGATTTGCAGGATTACGAGGGAATCCCAACCAGATAGGGTTGGGATTACAAATCTACACCCAACCTACAAAGTAACCTAACCGATATAGAATATAGTACAAAGTGTTGACTGACTATTTCTAACAGAGTGTGGTTGTCACAGGTACTCATGAGACTGTCTCGCCTCGCCTGCATGCTCGGCTCCTCCGAGCCCTGCTACGTGCACCAAGTGCAGGAGCGCATCCTCGTGAGTGGATGAGGTTGGGGAGTGTGGTTGTCACAGGTACTCGTGAGACTGTCTCGCCTCGCCTGCATGCTCGGCTCCTCCAAGCCGTGCTACGTTCACCAAGTGCAGGAGCGCATCCTCGTGAGTGGATGAGGTTGGGGAGTGTGGTTGTCACAGGTACTCATGAGACTGTCTCGCCTCGTCTGCATGCTCGGCTCCTCCAAGCCGTGCTACGTGCACCAAGTGCAGGAGCGCATCCTCGTGAGTGGATGAGGTTGGGGAGTGTGGTTGTCACAGGTACTCATGAGACTGTCTCGCCTCGCCTGCATGCTCGGCTCCTCCAAGCCGTGCTACGTGCACCAAGTGCAGGAGCGCATCCTCGTGAGTGGATGAGGTTGGGGAGTGTGGTTGTCACAGGTACTCATGAGACTGTCTCGCCTCGCCTGCATGCTCGGCTCCTCCGAGCCATGCTACGTGCACCAAGTGCAGGAGCGCATCCTCGTGAGTGGATGAGGTTGGGGAGTGTGGTTGTCACAGGTACTCATGAGACTGTCTCGCCTCGCCTGCATGCTCGGCGCCTCCGAGCCGTGCTACGTGCACCAAGTGCAGGAGCGCATCCTCGTGAGTGGATGAGGTTGGGGAGTGTGGTTGTCACAGGTACTCATGAGACTGTCTCGCCTCGCCTGCATGCTCGGCTCCTCCGAGCCATGCTACGTGCACCAAGTGCAGGAGCGCATCCTCGTGAGTGGATGAGGTTGGGGAGTGTGGTTGTCACAGGTACTCATGAGACTGTCTCCCCTCGACTGCATGCTCGGCTCCTCCAAGCCGTGCTACGTGCACCAAGTGCAGGAGCGCATCCTCGTGAGTGGATGAGGTTGGGGAGTGTGGTTGTCACAGGTACTCATGAGACTGTCTCGCCTCGCCTGCATGCTCGGCTCCTCCAAGCCGTGCTACGTGCACCAAGTGCAGGAGCGCATCCTCGTGAGTGGATGAGGTTGGGGAGTGTGGTTGTCACAGGTACTCATGAGACTGTCTCCCCTCGACTGCATGCTCGGCTCCTCCAAGCCGTGCTACGTGCACCAAGTGCAGGAGCGCATCCTCGTGAGTGGATGAGGTTGGGGAGTGTGGTTGTCACAGGTACTCATGAGACTGTCTCGCCTCGCCTGCATGCTCGGCTCCTCCAAGCCGTGCTACGTGCACCAAGTGCAGGAGCGCATCCTCATGAGTGGATGAGGTTGGGGAGTGTGGTTGTCACAGGTACTCATGAGACTGTCTCCCCTCGACTGCATGCTCGGCTCCTCCAAGCCGTGCTACGTGCACCAAGTGCAGGAGCGCATCCTCGTGAGTGGATGAGGTTGGGGAGTGTGGTTGTCACAGGTACTCATGAGACTGTCTCGCCTCGCCTGCATGCTCGGCTCCTCCGAGGCGTGCTACGTGCACCAAGTGCAGGAGCGCATCCTCGTGAGTGGATGAGGTTGGGGAGTGTGGTTGTCACAGGTACTCATGAGACTGTCTCGCCTCGCCTGCATGCTCGGCTCCTCCGAGCCCTGCTACGTGCACCAAGTGCAGGAGCGCATCCTCGTGAGTGGATGAGGTTGGGGAGTGTGGTTGTCACAGGTACTCGTGAGACTGTCTCGCCTCGCCTGCATGCTCGGCTCCTCCAAGCCGTGCTACGTGCACCAAGTGCAGGAGCGCATCCTCGTGAGTGGATGAGGTTGGGGAGTGTGGTTGTCACAGGTACTCATGAGACTGTCTCGCCTCGTCTGCATGCTCGGCTCCTCCAAGCCGTGCTACGTGCACCAAGTGCAGGAGCGCATCCTCGTGAGTGGATGAGGTTGGGGAGTGTGGTTGTCACAGGTACTCATGAGACTGTCTCGCCTCGCCTGCATGCTCGGCTCCTCCAAGCCGTGCTACGTGCACCAAGTGCAGGAGCGCATCCTCGTGAGTGGATGAGGTTGGGGAGTGTGGTTGTCACAGGTACTCATGAGACTGTCTCGCCTCGCCTGCATGCTCGGCTCCTCCGAGCCATGCTACGTGCACCAAGTGCAGGAGCGCATCCTCGTGAGTGGATGAGGTTGGGGAGTGTGGTTGTCACAGGTACTCATGAGACTGTCTCGCCTCGCCTGCATGCTCGGCGCCTCCGAGCCCTGCTACGTGCACCAAGTGCAGGAGCGCATCCTCGTGAGTGGATGAGGTTGGGGAGTGTGGTTGTCACAGGTACTCATGAGACTGTCTCGCCTCGCCTGCATGCTCGGCTCCTCCGAGCCATGCTACGTGCACCAAGTGCAGGAGCGCATCCTCGTGAGTGGATGAGGTTGGGGAGTGTGGTTGTCACAGGTACTCATGAGACTGTCTCCCCTCGACTGCATGCTCGGCTCCTCCAAGCCGTGCTACGTGCACCAAGTGCAGGAGCGCATCCTCGTGAGTGGATGAGGTTGGGGAGTGTGGTTGTCACAGGTACTCATGAGACTGTCTCGCCTCGCCTGCATGCTCGGCTCCTCCAAGCCGTGCTACGTGCACCAAGTGCAGGAGCGCATCCTCGTGAGTGGATGAGGTTGGGGAGTGTGGTTGTCACAGGTACTCATGAGACTGTCTCCCCTCGACTGCATGCTCGGCTCCTCCAAGCCGTGCTACGTGCACCAAGTGCAGGAGCGCATCCTCGTGAGTGGATGAGGTTGGGGAGTGTGGTTGTCACAGGTACTCATGAGACTGTCTCGCCTCGCCTGCATGCTCGGCTCCTCCAAGCCGTGCTACGTGCACCAAGTGCAGGAGCGCATCCTCATGAGTGGATGAGGTTGGGGAGTGTGGTTGTCACAGGTACTCATGAGACTGTCTCCCCTCGACTGCATGCTCGGCTCCTCCAAGCCGTGCTACGTGCACCAAGTGCAGGAGCGCATCCTCGTGAGTGGATGAGGTTGGGGAGTGTGGTTGTCACAGGTACTCATGAGACTGTCTCGCCTCGCCTGCATGCTCGGCTCCTCCGAGGCGTGCTACGTGCACCAAGTGCAGGAGCGCATCCTCGTGAGTGGATGAGGTTGGGGAGTGTGGTTGTCACAGGTACTCATGAGACTGTCTCGCCTCGCCTGCATGCTCGGCTCCTCCAAGCCGTGCTACGTGCACCAAGTGCAGGAGCGCATCCTCGTGAGTGGATGAGGTTGGGGAGTGTGGTTGTCACAGGTACTCATGATACTGTCTCGCCTCGCCTGCATGCTCGGCGCCTCCGAGCCGTGCTACGTGCACCAAGTGCAGGAGCGCATCCTCGTGAGTGGATGAGGTTGGGGAGTGTGGTTGTCACAGGTACTCATGAGACTGTCTCCCCTCGACTGCATGCTCGGCTCCTCCAAGCCGTGCTACGTGCACCAAGTGCAGGAGCGCATCCTCGTGAGTGGATGAGGTTGGGGAGTGTGGTTGTCACAGGTACTCATGAGACTGTCTCGCCTCGCCTGCATGCTCGGCTCCTCCAAGCCGTGCTACGTGCACCAAGTGCAGGAGCGCATCCTCGTGAGTGGATGAGGTTGGGGAGTGTGGTTGTCACAGGTACTCATGAGACTGTCTCCCCTCGACTGCATGCTCGGCTCCTCCAAGCCGTGCTACGTGCACCAAGTGCAGGAGCGCATCCTCGTGAGTGGATGAGGTTGGGGAGTGTGGTTGTCACAGGTACTCATGAGACTGTCTCGCCTCGCCTGCATGCTCGGCTCCTCCAAGCCGTGCTACGTGCACCAAGTGCAGGAGCGCATCCTCATGAGTGGATGAGGTTGGGGAGTGTGGTTGTCACAGGTACTCATGAGACTGTCTCCCCTCGACTGCATGCTCGGCTCCTCCAAGCCGTGCTACGTGCACCAAGTGCAGGAGCGCATCCTCGTGAGTGGATGAGGTTGGGGAGTGTGGTTGTCACAGGTACTCATGAGACTGTCTCGCCTCGCCTGCATGCTCGGCTCCTCCGAGGCGTGCTACGTGCACCAAGTGCAGGAGCGCATCCTCGTGAGTGGATGAGGTTGGGGAGTGTGGTTGTCACAGGTACTCATGAGACTGTCTCGCCTCGCCTGCATGCTCGGCTCCTCCGAGCCCTGCTACGTGCACCAAGTGCAGGAGCGCATCCTCGTGAGTGGATGAGGTTGGGGAGTGTGGTTGTCACAGGTACTCGTGAGACTGTCTCGCCTCGCCTGCATGCTCGGCTCCTCCAAGCCGTGCTACGTGCACCAAGTGCAGGAGCGCATCCTCGTGAGTGGATGAGGTTGGGGAGTGTGGTTGTCACAGGTACTCATGAGACTGTCTCGCCTCGTCTGCATGCTCGGCTCCTCCAAGCCGTGCTACGTGCACCAAGTGCAGGAGCGCATCCTCGTGAGTGGATGAGGTTGGGGAGTGTGGTTGTCACAGGTACTCATGAGACTGTCTCGCCTCGCCTGCATGCTCGGCTCCTCCAAGCCGTGCTACGTGCACCAAGTGCAGGAGCGCATCCTCGTGAGTGGATGAGGTTGGGGAGTGTGGTTGTCACAGGTACTCATGAGACTGTCTCGCCTCGCCTGCATGCTCGGCTCCTCCGAGCCATGCTACGTGCACCAAGTGCAGGAGCGCATCCTCGTGAGTGGATGAGGTTGGGGAGTGTGGTTGTCACAGGTACTCATGAGACTGTCTCGCCTCGCCTGCATGCTCGGCGCCTCCGAGCCCTGCTACGTGCACCAAGTGCAGGAGCGCATCCTCGTGAGTGGATGAGGTTGGGGAGTGTGGTTGTCACAGGTACTCATGAGACTGTCTCGCCTCGCCTGCATGCTCGGCTCCTCCGAGCCATGCTACGTGCACCAAGTGCAGGAGCGCATCCTCGTGAGTGGATGAGGTTGGGGAGTGTGGTTGTCACAGGTACTCATGAGACTGTCTCCCCTCGACTGCATGCTCGGCTCCTCCAAGCCGTGCTACGTGCACCAAGTGCAGGAGCGCATCCTCGTGAGTGGATGAGGTTGGGGAGTGTGGTTGTCACAGGTACTCATGAGACTGTCTCGCCTCGCCTGCATGCTCGGCTCCTCCAAGCCGTGCTACGTGCACCAAGTGCAGGAGCGCATCCTCGTGAGTGGATGAGGTTGGGGAGTGTGGTTGTCACAGGTACTCATGAGACTGTCTCGCCTCGTCTGCATGCTCGGCTCCTCCAAGCCGTGCTACGTGCACCAAGTGCAGGAGCGCATCCTCGTGAGTGGATGAGGTTGGGGAGTGTGGTTGTCACAGGTACTCATGAGACTGTCTCGCCTCGCCTGCATGCTCGGCTCCTCCAAGCCGTGCTACGTGCACCAAGTGCAGGAGCGCATCCTCATGAGTGGATGAGGTTGGGGAGTGTGGTTGTCACAGGTACTCATGAGACTGTCTCCCCTCGACTGCATGCTCGGCTCCTCCAAGCCGTGCTACGTGCACCAAGTGCAGGAGCGCATCCTCGTGAGTGGATGAGGTTGGGGAGTGTGGTTGTCACAGGTACTCATGAGACTGTCTCGCCTCGCCTGCATGCTCGGCTCCTCCGAGGCGTGCTACGTGCACCAAGTGCAGGAGCGCATCCTCGTGAGTGGATGAGGTTGGGGAGTGTGGTTGTCACAGGTACTCATGAGACTGTCTCGCCTCGCCTGCATGCTCGGCTCCTCCAAGCCGTGCTACGTGCACCAAGTGCAGGAGCGCATCCTCGTGAGTGGATGAGGTTGGGGAGTGTGGTTGTCACAGGTACTCATGATACTGTCTCGCCTCGCCTGCATGCTCGGCGGCTCCGAGCCGTGCTACGTGCACCAAGTGCAGGAGCGCATCCTCGTGAGTGGATGAGGTTGGGGAGTGTGGTTGTCACAGGTACTCATGAGACTGTCTCGCCTCGCCTGCATGCTCGGCTCCTCCGAGGCCTGCTACGTGCACCAAGTGCAGGAGCGCATCCTCGTGAGTGGATGAGGTTGGGGAGTGTGGTTGTCACAGGTACTCATGATACTGTCTCGCCTCGCCTGCATGCTCGGCGCCTCCGAGCCGTGCTACGTGCACCAAGTGCAGGAGCGCATCCTCGTGAGTGGATGAGGTTGGGGAGTGTGGTTGTCACAGGTACTCATGAGACTGTCTCGCCTCGCCTGCATGCTCGGCTCCTCCGAGGCGTGCTACGTGCACCAAGTGCAGGAGCGCATCCTCGTGAGTGGATGAGGTTGGGGAGTGTGGTTGTCACAGGTACTCATGAGACTGTCTCGCCTCGTCTGCATGCTCGGCTCCTCCAAGCCGTGCTACGTGCACCAAGTGCAGGAGCGCATCCTCGTGAGTGGATGAGGTTGGGGAGTGTGGTTGTCACAGGTACTCATGAGACTGTCTCCCCTCGACTGCATGCTCGGCTCCTCCAAGCCGTGCTACGTGCACCAAGTGCAGGAGCGCATCCTCGTGAGTGGATGAGGTTGGGGAGTGTGGTTGTCACAGGTACTCATGAGACTGTCTCGCCTCGCCTGCATGCTCGGCTCCTCCAAGCCGTGCTACGTGCACCAAGTGCAGGAGCGCATCCTCGTGAGTGGATGAGGTTGGGGAGTGTGGTTGTCACAGGTACTCATGAGACTGTCTCGCCTCGTCTGCATGCTCGGCTCCTCCAAGCCGTGCTACGTGCACCAAGTGCAGGAGCGCATCCTCGTGAGTGGATGAGGTTGGGGAGTGTGGTTGTCACAGGTACTCATGATACTGTCTCGCCTCGCCTGCATGCTCGGCGCCTCCGAGCCGTGCTACGTGCACCAAGTGCAGGAGCGCATCCTCGTGAGTGGATGAGGTTGGGGAGTGTGGTTGTCATAGGTACTCATGAGACTGTCTCGCCTCGCCTGCATGCTCGGCTCCTCCGAGGCGTGCTACGTGCACCAAGTGCAGGAGCGCATCCTCGTGAGTGGATGAGGTTGGGGAGTGTGGTTGTCACAGGTACTCATGAGACTGTCTCGCCTCGCCTGCATGCTCGGCTCCTCCAAGCCGTGCTACGTGCACCAAGTGCAGGAGCGCATCCTCGTGAGTGGATGTGGTTGAGGAGTGTGGTTGTCACAGGTACTCATGAGACTGTCTCGCCTCGCCTGCATGCTCGGCTCCTCCGAGGTCTGCTACGTGCACCAAGTGCAGGAGTGCATCCTCGTGAGTGGATGAGGTTGGGGAGTGTGGTTGTCACAGGTACTCATGATACTGTCTCGCCTCGCCTGCATGCTCGGCGCCTCCGAGCCGTGCTACGTGCACCAAGTGCAGGAGCGCATCCTCGTGAGTGGATGAGGTTGGGGAGTGTGGTTGTCACAGGTACTCATGAGACTGTCTCGCCTCGCCTGCATGCTCGGCTCCTCCGAGGCGTGCTACGTGCACCAAGTGCAGGAGCGCATCCTCGTGAGTGGATGAGGTTGGGGAGTGTGGTTGTCACAGGTACTCATGAGACTGTCTCGCCTCGCCTGCATGCTCGGCTCCTCCAAGCCGTGGTACGTGCACCAAGTGCAGGAGCGCATCCTCGTGAGTGGATGAGGTTGGGGAGTGTGGTTGTCACAGGTACTCATGAGACTGTCTCGCCTCGCCTGCATGCTCGGCTCCTCCGAGCCCTGCTACGTGCAGCCTGTGCAGGAGCGCATCCTCGTGAGTGGATGAGGTTGGGGAGTGTGGTTGTCACAGGTACTCATGAGACTGTCTCGCCTCGCCTGCATGCTCGGCTCCTCCAAGCCGTGCTACGTGCACCAAGTGCAGGAGCGCATCCTCGTGAGTGGATGAGGTTGGGGAGTGTGGTTGTCACAGGTACTCATGAGACTGTCTCGCCTCGCCTGCATGCTCGGCTCCTCCGAGCCCTGCTACGTGCAGCCTGTGCAGGAGCGCATCCTCGTGAGTGGATGAGGTTGGGGAGTGTGGTTGTCACAGGTACTCATGAGACTGTCTCGCCTCGCCTGCATGCTCGGCGCCTCCGAGCCGTGCTACGTGCACCAAGTGCAGGAGCGCATCCTCGTGAGTGGATGAGGTTGGGGAGTGTGGTTGTCACAGGTACTCATGAGACTGTCTCGCCTCGCCTGCATGCTCGGCTCCTCCGAGGTCTGCTACGTGCACCAAGTGCAGGAGCGCATCCTCGTGAGTGGATGAGGTTGGGGGGTGTGGTTGTCACAGGTACTCATGAGACTGTCTCGCCTCGCCTGCATGCTCGGCTCCTCCAAGCCGTGCTACGTGCACCAAGTGCAGGAGCGCATCCTCGTGAGTGGATGAGGTTGGGGAGTGTGGTTGTCACAGGTACTCATGAGACTGTCTCGCCTCGCCTGCATGCTCGGCTCCTCCGAGGTCTGCTACGTGCACCAAGTGCAGGAGTGCATCCTCGTGAGTGGATGAGGTTGGGGAGTGTGGTTGTCACAGGTACTCATGATACTGTCTCGCCTCGCCTGCATGCTCGGCGCCTCCGAGCCGTGCTACGTGCACCAAGTGCAGGAGCGCATCCTCGTGAGTGGATGAGGTTGGGGAGTGTGGTTGTCACAGGTACTCATGAGACTGTCTCGCCTCGCCTGCATGCTCGGCTCCTCCGAGGCGTGCTACGTGCACCAAGTGCAGGAGCGCATCCTCGTGAGTGGATGAGGTTGGGGAGTGTGGTTGTCACAGGTACTCATGAGACTGTCTCGCCTCGCCTGCATGCTCGGCTCCTCCAAGCCGTGGTACGTGCACCAAGTGCAGGAGCGCATCCTCGTGAGTGGATGAGGTTGGGGAGTGTGGTTGTCACAGGTACTCATGAGACTGTCTCGCCTCGCCTGCATGCTCGGCTCCTCCGAGCCCTGCTACGTGCAGCCTGTGCAGGAGCGCATCCTCGTGAGTGGATGAGGTTGGGGAGTGTGGTTGTCACAGGTACTCATGAGACTGTCTCGCCTCGCCTGCATGCTCGGCTCCTCCGAGCCCTGCTACGTGCAGCCTGTGCAGGAGCGCATCCTCGTGAGTGGATGAGGTTGGGGAGTGTGGTTGTCACAGGTACTCATGAGACTGTCTCGCCTCGCCTGCATGCTCGGCTCCTCCAAGCCGTGCTACGTGCACCAAGTGCAGGAGCGCATCCTCGTGAGTGGATGAGGTTGGGGAGTGTGGTTGTCACAGGTACTCATGAGACTGTCTCGCCTCGCCTGCATGCTCGGCTCCTCCGAGCCCTGCTACGTGCACCCTGTGCAGGAGCGTGTGCTGGTGAGTGGAGCAGCATGAGCTGGTGAGGGGGGGAGGGCACTGGGGAGAGTGGTGGTTATTGATACCAGTGCAGCGGTGAACTCTTGCATAGATCATGTGTACAAATGCATGTGGGCGTGGGGGGTTGGGGCATATGGACACGTGTCTGTGTGTCCATGCAGCACTTCCAGTGTCTGCCTGTGCCCGGACCTACATGGCACCATGCCTGTGTCTCGTATGCACTCTGTGCCCTGAGGGGCGCGTGCAACCTTTGCTGCTCCCATGCTGCTCTCTGCACCGAGCTTTCACACCTTCAACCTCCTCTGCACCCCTTACGACTGCCTTCTAGTCTCAGTGGTGAGCCCGGGCGGCTATGCCGCAGGTGCCCTTCTTATTTCTTCTTCCCTTGCCTTCCACCATCGCCTTTACCCAACCTCTCTCCACCACACATCGCCGCCCTCCCCAACACCATCCTGTCACCTCCTCCCCCTCCCCCTCTCCCCGCAGTGTCCTGGAGAGCCAGAGAAGCGGCCGCTAGAGAACATACCGCAGACACGCGCGTGCCACGCCACGGGCGTGGGGCTCACCACCAACCTGCCGCCGCTGCCGCTGCCGCCGCCCTCCCACCATGACGGGTGGGATGGCGCTCAACACGCTCCACCACATGCCTCTCATGGGGCTGTGGGTGCTGCTGCTGCTGCTGCTGCTGCCGCTGATTCTGCTGCTGGCATGGGTGGAGGGCCAGCAACAGCAGGGTGGGGAGGGCGAGAGAGGGGAGGGCGGGGTGAGCAGCGGGGAGGGGAGCAGGGAGCAGGGGGAGCAGTGGATGGGGACTCCTATTATCTGGAGGAGGAGCACTCCTGATAGAAGGCAACTGTGGCTGTCACTCTGAGTCAACAAGCATTGTTGTGAAGAAGCATTGCTGTGAATGAGCATTGTTGTAACCCTAGGGCAGTGATATTCTTGCAAACGTATTTTTATCTGGCTACGGTACTTTCTGTTTAATATTCATCGGCAAACTGTAGTTCAATTTGATGTGGCGAATGTGATGAAATGAAATACATATCCACTGTGTGTACCGTAACCGTAATCTCCTTGCAATAAGCCCCGGGGTCAATGAAATGAGAAATTCAGAGTAGCATAAAAACGATTGGGTGATCAATAGAGAGTTGCATAACGAATTAGACCCTTGGACATGTTAAAAAATTATATGAACAATGAAATGTGAATTTGTTACAAGAACTCACTTCACTCGAACGGGTGCACAAATGTTTTCATGTCGTGGACTTGATTGATGGATGTATAATCCGCCACGTGGCACACATTTGGGTCCTGACAATGGATTTTCAACGCACCCTTGTCCTGGCAGTGCGCCCACATGACCGCCTACAGCATACCACGAGGCGCTGTGGAATGCGTATGGCCAGGGTGGGTTATTCCCCCTCCATAACATTCCATCCATGCCGGCAAGGCTTAGTTTTGGATTTTGCCTACTCACGATTAGCAATGTAGACATTTTCAAAACCCTTCTGAGCAGTGTGCCCTTTTTGGAAACACTGATGGATCAGTGTAACTTGAAGTTTTTGAAACTTTACCCAGAGGCATCAGTGTAGGTATATTTTTTACCCTGATTGTGCCCTAGGCAGCTCAGTATGTGCTGGCAACAACCAAGCTCGTGGCCCAAATTGCGCAAGATTACTAATCCTGCGCAAGTTGGGCGCTGGTGGGTGGGGGTTGTGAACTCAAAAGTCGAGCGCAGTGGCTTGTCTGGTTTCGCTGCAACACTTGTTTTTTTGCCGGGGGGGGACGTGTGTTTGGGGACCTCGAGTCCCAAATTTCCGAGTCAAGAAAGTTGAAGTTTTTGCAGTGAGTGCAGCTTCGACCAATCAGGTTGCATCGCCTCTACAGTAACGGGTAGGTTGCAAGCAGACACGAAGTGACGCGGTGTCGGTTGTCAGTACTCACGTGCTGGCGTCGTAGTGCATCATTACGAAATTGGGTGTATCGTTACGAAATTTCTAGGAAACTTCGTCTCGATAAGTTGATTTCCGAAGGGGGGGGGGGGGGGGTGGGGGGAGGGGTTCCCTGTAACATTACCCCAGAGCATCAGTGTGGCCAAAATTGATGCACTGACATATCAGTGTAACACTAATCCCCCAAAAAAATACCCAAACCCATCAGTTCATGCCCTAAATTTCACCCTTCTAATCAGTATAGCAGTGTAAATTACACTGATAACAAGAGCCCTGCTTGCCGGGTTGGCAAGGATGGAAGTGGGAGACATGTGCGGCGCGACAAAGGGGCCCCCCGAGAAGTTTCCTCCCTTGCCAACCTCGCAAGTGTTTCAGAGGGAAACGCGAGCGGCGTGCCCATCACGTCTCCCTGCAGCCCGTCTTCAGAGGAGGGTAGTCTGGTCGTGAACGCGTCAATTTCGCGTTTTTGGCTAGCATCTCATCCCGTCGTCTCTTCCTTTTTCTCAGCCATGGGGACTTCCCCTCTTCTTCGTTCATCTGCCTGTTCCTGCACACACCATGTCCGCCCTTCATAAAGATTTAGGACGTCAGTGCGGCACGTGTCAGAAATGAAACAGCAGGAATGATTGACTAGCAGCAATGGCGAGTACAAGTACTACCCGTAGTGGGTTGTACCTGTCAAAACTGTCAAAATGTTATACTGCTTATACTATGTAGGCTGTAGCGGGGTAGCCCATAAGGGGTACAACCCGATTAGGGTTAGTACTTGTACCAACTTTCTGCTCAATACATTCATTCTCGTTCAGTATTCTAACATGGTTTTAGAGCATTTCCTGTTCCAAGACCGTTTTTTTAGGGCCCACCGCATAGTTCCCTGCTCGTAGCGCTACCCCACTAGTCGCGCTGCCCTGCCCTGCCCGTCGCGCCACCCTGCTGGCCGCACGCTGCCCTGCCCTGCCCGTCGCACCGCCCTATAGGCAGAGCGCTGCCCTGCCCTGCCCGTCGCGCCACCTTGCCAGTCGCGCGCCACCCTGCCCTGCCTGTCACGCCGCCCTGCTGGCCGCGCGCTGCCCTGCCCTGCCCGTCGCGCCGCCCTGCTGGTAGCGCGCCACCCTCCCCTGCCTGTCGCGTCACCCTGCTAGCCGCCGCGTCGCCCTGCCCTGCCCGTGCGCCGCCCTGCTGGCCGCCACGCCGCCCTGCTCTGCCTGCGCGTCGCCCTGCCCTGCCCGCGCACCGCACTGCTGGCAGCCGCGCCGCCCTGCCCTGCCTGCGCGTCGCCCTACCCTGCCCGCGCGCCGCCCTGCTGGCCGCCGCGCCGCCCTGCCCTGCCCGCGCGCCGCCCTGCTGGCCGCCGCACCGCCCTGCCCTGCCCGTGTGCCCCCCTGCTGGCCGCCGCCCTGCCCTGCCATTTGCGCTGCCCTGCCCTGGCCGCGCGCCGCTCTACCCTAGCCATGCGCCGCCTCGCCCTGCCCTGCGCGCTTCCCTAGTGCTCGCGCGCCGCCCTGCCTGCGTGCTGCCTTGCTGGTCGCACGCCACCCTGCCCTGCCCGCTATGGATTCTCTTAGTGTTCTCACCTTTGATCATGAGGGCCGTCCGATCCAGTTTGATACGTGGTTCGACGAGTTACAACTGTACCTACAGAGCGATTCTAGAGACAACGTTTCGTTGTTTGACCACACGTCTGGAGCCTCTCTCGCCCCTCCCGCCACAGCTGACAGTGCGACTCGCTCACAGTGGCTTACCCGTGACGCTGCTGCTCACTTAGCCGCTCGCAACAACCTGCCGTTAGCCGAACGCGCTCACTTTGGCTAGCACAAAACTCCTAAAGCCCTGTACGACGTTGTAGCCGCTCGTTACTCTTCCCCTGCCACTGCTGCTCTCGGTTGCCTTATACTGCCCTACCTTTTTCCCGAGCTGTCAGCCTTTGCCACAGTCGAGGACCTCATCACCCACCTACGCACTAGCGACACTCGCTACCACGCAGCCCTCCCAGCCGAGATCCTGGACAAGAACCCGTTCCCGATGTACATCACTCTCTACTTCATAGTCACCCGCCTCCCTGACTCTCTTTGCGCAGTCAGGGACCGCTTTCTCGCACTTGACGCCATAGACCTCACTGTCGACCTGCTCGAGAAGCACCTCCTTGCAGCTGAGACTACCGTAGTCGCTGTAGGTGCTGCTCGTGGCACTCCTCGCACACCCTTCTTTAAGGGGTGCCCCCCCTCCCCCCTTGCCCCCTCCTACGCTTCTGCTGCTGCTGTTGACATCCTTAGTACTGACGACGTCGGGGTTGCTTCTGCTCTTAGTGGGAAGCGCTGCAGCGGCAAAGGTAAGGGTGGCAAGAGTGGTGGTGGTGGCAGCGGGGGTGGTGGTGGTGGAGGCGGTGGAGGCGGTGGAGGTGGCAGAGGTGGCGGTGGGAGTGGTGGTAGGAGTGGGGGCTTTGGTGGCAGCGGTGGTGGCAGCGGTGGGAGTGGTGGTGGTGGTGGTGGCGGCAGTGGGAGTGGCAGCGGCGGTAGTGGTGGCGGTCGGGGTGGAGCTGTTCAGAGGGGAGGTTATGGTGGTGGCCAGAGGCAGCACCAGCAGCGTCGGAGCGAGACCCCTACGCCCCAACAGCTTCATGAGTGGTTTTCTCAGCATGGGGCGTCTGGGGGTAGTGTTCGCTGCACGTATGTCATTCGCACAGGTGACCGCGCTGGTCAGATATGCGGGAAGTTTCACACACAGCACCGCTGCTTCTCCCGCCTTGGCGACGAGGCTGAGCGCCCCCGCTGGCTAGAGCTTCTTAGGTCTGGTGTTGATGTATTTGCTCTTGACTATGATGCTATCCTTGCTACCATGTATGCCTTGTCTGTTAGTGCTGAGGGTGACTGTTACCTGTGTGTGCCGCCCGACCCAGGTATAGAGGCTGCTGCTCTAGGTGCTAGTGAGTTTGCTCTCCCTGGTACTGCGCTTGCTGAGGCCTTGCACACCTTCAAACTTGACTCAGGTGCTTCCCGCTGTTTCTTTCGCGACAGTACCACACTCACTCCACTCCCTGCACCTGTTCCAGTCAGACTGGCTGACCCCTTAAGGGGCCCAGTTCTTGCACGTTCCTCCACTGTTCTCCCATGTCCGACGGTTCTGTCCGGCTCACTGTCAGGTCTTCACCTCCCCTCGTTCTCTACGAACTTGGTGAGTACCGCTGCCCTCCAGGATGCGATGGTCACTACCACCACTCCTGGGGGTCAGCGTGTGTCGATCTGCACGTGTACACGGACGGGCCGTCACCTGGCCATGATCACCCGTCGGCCTAGGTCAAGTCTATACACACTGACTACTGAGCCTCCTCAGGTAGCTGCGTCTGGTCAGGTGTCCGCGTCAGGTCCGGTAGCAGCCCCCTACTCGTGTCGCCTCCTGTTGCACCAGACTCTCCTTTGGCACCACCGCCTTGGTCACCCCTACCTGCCACGCCTTCATGGCATGCACTACCGCCTCCTTGTTTCTGGTCTTCCCAGGTCTCTGCCTGCCCTCCCGCCCTCGCCTGCCCCGCCCTGCTTTCCTTGCGTCGAGGGGCGGCAGCGCGCAGCTCCTCACTCCTCCTCGTTTCCCCCGACGACTGCTCCCCTGTAGACTCTCCACATGGACGTGTGGGGCCCAGCCCGCGTCAGTGGACAGGACCACGAGCGCTACTTCCTGCTGGTTGTGGACGACTACACGCGTTACACTATGGTCTTCTCCTTGCGCTGTAAGGGTGAGGTCCCTGATGTCTTGATCCCTTGGATCCGTGCAGTCCATCTCCAGCTCCGTGAGCGGTTCCGTGAGGACCTTCCTGTCCTACGTCTGCACTCTGACAGAGGTGGTGAGTTCTCCTCCGACCTCTTGCAGGACTTTTGTCGTGGGGAGGGCATCCTC